TTCCTCGCTAATGCACTGAGCAGCTTACGTAGACGAACATTTCCATGAAATTGATGCTTTTGGTCAAGCAAAAGAAGCAATGCGGCAAATGCGGGATCGCAATTTGGAATGCTCTTCATAATCGTGCCGTCAAAAGCATGCAATAATTGTTTTCTGCTGGTTCTTCGACGAGGAATAAAGCCAACAGTACTGTCTTATGTACGTGTAATGTGTCTCGCAAATGCGCTTAACAAATAAGCATAATTGGGTCAAGTACAACTTAATAGTCTGGCTTTGTCAGTCTCGTAGAACAATCACGAAGGATTTGCGCTTTCGAGAAGATTTTCAACTCCATGGGATTGTTTGGTCCTGATCTTTCAGCCCAGATGCGTCGAAGGGGATGCTTTTGGAGTCACGTGACGCTATGACGCGGCTGCCCTATGCTAGTCTGGCTCTCCCTTAGCCAGCTGCTAAGAAACGGCCTGTGACGAGTCAGGTGTGGGCACGGCTTCTGGGACATGCTCGCACATATTCTACCTCAGGGGTGCAGTTTTCTTTTCAGTTGGAGACGGTGCTTCAGCGCCGCCCCCCCCCCCCCCCAACTTGGTCTTCAGCGCCCAGCTTTGAGAAGAAAGTGTGCAATATCCGGAGAGAAACCTTCCAGGTAATTTGGGCTATTTTCACTGTTCGGCTCCACCTCCACCTAACTCAATTTGCGAAACTGTGCCCTGGTTGAACTCCCTAGTGGTCAGATATGCGACGCTCCGGCTTAACTATGAGGACATTACCATAACATTGTTGACATCTTGCATCTCGAGGCCTTCATTTCTTTATCACATTCCCAGCACGGTAACGACTTATCTTGGCGCATGTGTGAGTCAGTGTTCTGACGCTTTACAGGACCTCGCTTGCAGCTATCCAATTTTCATAAATTGTCGCCATTAATCTATGGGCGGGTACTTTCACGGTGCTTGGGAGCATCAGGCGTGATAAAAACTCATAAACCCGAATATCGATGCCAATGCCAGGAAAACGACAGAAGGGTGAAGTTTCAAGAGATTCGGACCCTAACAACAAAAATGCCTCAAGAGAAAAGTACTCACTATTCTCGAAGTGTGTTTGGAATGAGAACCATCGAAAACTTCATGCGCTCTGATGCACCCGATTTAGCCCAGTCTCCTGCTATCCCTCACACGTCACGCCGGAGTCAGCTGTTACTGTCAAGTCCGTTAAGTCCGTTTAGGCGCCAGGCTCCGGCGGCTAAATCCGATCCCTGCGCTCGACCTTGCCTTTGACCTCGATGTGACCGCCGTGACCCCAGCCCGACCCCTTCACGCCCCAGGCGACCTGCGTCACGCGGCGACGGCGCGGCGACAGTGGCTGACGGAGTGGACGGCGATTACGTCAGGCAGGTGCGGCCGCTGACAATGGCCTGCGACGTATTTGGCGCCGGCCGCGACGGTGGTGACGCACACGCTGTCCGAGCCTCGCTGGGCCCGATAATCCGGGCAGACGATCGATGCGCGCAAAGCTGTTGTGTATGTTGGGTATGAGCCGGTGAGGAATGCACATGCAACTACGGGACGGTTTTGCGGATCAAAAGGTGATGTCAAGTTCAAATATCGCTGAAGTTTAATTCCCGATATGTTACAGAACGGAGCACTGCGTTTACAGTGCGAAGTGCATTACGTATTGATGTCCAGTATGTGGCACCATATTTAACAACAATCACTGCAGAAATTGGTTTTATAAATTATATAGATGCGACAGCTTAACCGAAATCTTCAAATGAGGCGTTCCGGTATATGCGGAGGTAATACAATTTCTTACTTTATGAGATGTATCAAAATATTTTAAGATGATTACAGAACTTTTTTCGTCCGGTTCGTCCGCCCCGGTGGCTCAGTTGGTTAGAGCGCCTGCATTCCGATGCACCCACCCGTAGCGGGGTCGGTTCGAGTCGCTTTAGGCGCTCGCTATTTGCCCTTGACAGGTACGACCTGCGGCCGGTGGCAGCGGTCGCGCTAAAGGTCAGTTGACGTCAGAGGGCAGGACGGACCGTGCCGAGCATTGCGGCACGTTAAGCTTTCGCCACCAAATTATGCCGTCGACATGGAATTGCGCGATCGGATGGTAGGGGTCAGGGCTCACACAACAAGCACTGCTTAGCGTGAGCTCTGATCCCGGAAATCCATCCATTCAAAGGGTTGGGATCAAATCTTTAAAATAAGAACTGAGTTTGTGTAATTACATTTCAGGCAGTTTCAGCGCACTAATTTCGTTGAAACAGATTGATCATAATAACGAAACATCTGTTCATTCCTGCATGCAATAAGTTTGTCGCCAGAAATAGTTTCCCAAAAGAATGAAGCTACCAAAAAGACCCCGCATTTCATTCATCCTATCGAGCAGAAAATGTTAAATACAACAACAGCTTTTAGTACTAACATTGCCCGATCACGTGAAGTGTCGCAGGTTCTGCTCTTCTCTTCAGTCGAAACACTATGAAATAAAATGTTACCATGGTGGTGGCATTAGTGCCGTGCATTAGCTCTTAGCAAAAAATACACAAGTTACTCAGCGGTGTGCACAAAGTTATCGCACAATTGGCCCATGAACGACCGAACCATGGAAAATCGCTGGGGTAATGCATTTGATCGACCAACCCCTTAAAATGCTTCCAAATGCCCGGAACATGTCTCGCAGCAGGCCTCCGTGAAAACGGTTTGCGACAAAAATCGTCATCGAAGTTGAGCTCAGATCCATCGGGTTTCAGACACAGGTTTCGTGCGAAGAATTGGCATGCCCTGAAGGAATAGCGTTTAATTGTACACGCTATTTAGAGCGTAGACACCTCCATATCATTTTCTCTGCGTTCACTTTTCTGTTTCATTTCAGCCATATCGGCAAATCCACACATCTCGTTCACTCAATCTCAGCTGTCGCCAGCAGAAATACAAACGGCAATAAAAGCCATCTTTCGGGCCATCGCCGGCTTTTTTAATTGCTTATCCTATGGGTGCAGTCTCAAAGCTGGTTAAAACTGGTTAAAGCTGTTTCCGGTAAAACCGGATTCCAATCTTCTCATTGCGTTCACAGGCCAGCATTTAATGGCACTGGAAAAGTGAGGCCATTCTCAACCCGGTAACCGTCCCAGCTCCGCAGGGGCCGATTAGAGACCACCGCAGCACCGGGTAGCACCACAATCTTGCATGTCCAAGCGTGAGCACATTCACGAATCGAGGCTCGGGCGACTGGCTAAACCGTGAGGCGGAAAGGGGAGAGAATATCCGACCTGACACCGCACTTCTAAGGGGATAGTAGGGGATTCTTTTTCTGAATGGAAATCCAATCTCGAGTATTTATTTCAGCTGTAAGTGGGTCAGTGTAATATTAAAGCTAAGCTGCTGCTCATGAAATCCGCTATTTTGGTCCATTAGCGGCGGAACATAGGTAGCTCAGAATGCTTGTCTGATGATTTAGCTAAGGCTATCGGCAAACTGTTTTACCCCTACGGGATTTCACCATCGATTTGAGAGCGAAATACGCATGCCATGTACCTTAAAGCTTCACGTAATGCTACCATATGTATGTCTACAACACATAAAGCGACGAGGCGTTCTGTTTTTACACGTTAGATACTATACATATGCTATAGCAGTTGGTATCTTGAAGACGTATACTGATTCGCCAGCTGATTGTATAAGAAATACGCGATCACACCGCCGTACATTTTGGAAGATAATATCGTGCGGATGAAGTCATTTTCGGCAAAATGATGCCTTAGGTTTCTACTACCTCAACCTACATGTTTCTTGAATGATTTCGGTTTTGTGGAAAAGCAAGGGGCCGTCCACATATTGCTTCACGCATGGATGGGTAGAGGTGGCTTTGATGGATTGTAACCGAAGCGTAATGGTAGAAGTAAGGGATGGGTCAGGATGACGTAACGTTACGCTTAGGTGTCGTTGCGAACCGTGCTGGACATTTTACAACCTTGTAAGTCTTTAAAGCCGGGTACTGTTGGCTTTCTCTATGACACGCAGTCTTTGTTGCGTAGCTCCAGCTCAGTTACAGGTCAAACAGACGTTACATTTTTGAGACGTTGAGATTAGCACGGCATAACGAAGGGAAGGAGGGATTTCGCCCAGCGCAACCAGTCGCAACCTGAGGGAGGGCTGAACAAATTGTTCTAAGCGCGTAAGTTGTTCATAGACGGCCCATCCAAATTTCTTTAAAGAGCAAGGTCTAAAAACGTAATTTCACGACAAAAAAGCGGACAAGTGCACATTTCAGTCCCCTTTTTCAAATGTCCTCCAGACCTGTTATCGTTAAAATACACCCAGCTTTCCAGGACGCCCAACGCCACCCTCTCGTCTGTCTGTCTCGCCCCGGCCGGGGTGGATCTGGTATTGCCGGTGCGCCGGACCGTCTCGCCCGCGCCACCAGCGCCGCGCCGGCTTATCGGCCGGCCGCGGCGTCCGACCTCCCGGGGGAAGGGGATGGGGAGGGGTCGTATTGTTGCCAATCCGCCAGAGGCGAGGTCGCGGGAGGTGACGCGGGGTCATTGCACGGGACGCGGCGCTGTCAATGGAGTCACGTGGGGTTGCGTGAGGTCCATGGCAAGCAAGATGGTGACCAGAGGTTCATCACGTGAATGCGACCGCACCGAATCAGACTCCGCGAAATCGAACCCCTGACCAAACTGCCCCAGCGCGGCGGTGGGGATAGTGGCGCACAAAGAGACAAAAGGCCTCAGTTTTGCCACTTTTCAACAAAAACCAGCATATTCTTAGCTATGCAGCCATTCAGCAGGGACACCACGCATTGGTCAGGATCAAGATAAATTGGGTCCGCATACTTACAAAAAGCGCTAATGTTCACCAAAACTTCCCCACGGAAGTCGCGCTTTGATTCGGATTCCGATCAGATAGCTATCCCCGAAGCGCCCCCCCCCCCCCCCCCCCCTGTCTGCCAGCGCGAGACTACGCCGGACTACTGACGCGCCAGCCTCGCCTCACCTGCTCCAGCTTGTCCGCCTCGAAGGCGGTCAGCTGCTTCAGGAAGCCGTCGTTTGGGTTGGCGATCGGTCGCGCCGCACGCACCGCCTGCAGCGCCGTCCTGTAGTCCAGTGACGTCACGCTGATGATGTAGGCCAGCGCCACCGTCACGCTGCGCGACATGCCGGCTAGGCTGCGGCGGAAACGGCGCAAGTTAGGGCAGGAATTATCGTCGTTATTTGGCCACTTTTTTCTCTAGACCTCAGTGAGAGCCTGTGGAACAGGTGAGCAGCGTAACCATACAGTAAAGGTTAGGGGCTGTCAAATCAGTGTCACTAAGGTTTTTGTTAAGGTGATTTGATGCTGCTCTATGACAACAAACACAAAACGGCCTAGTCAGCCCGAACGTTTCTAGAACTCGGATCACACCGGACATGTGCACACTCGTGATTAAGGAAATATAAATACGATATCGTTTACATGTTCCGTCTCAATATATCTTTTGAACAAAATGAATGGTATACGCTGCACCGGCCTACCAAGCTTTTCGTTTACGATGCTTTACGACGCTTTTAGGACGCTTTTCGCTAGTCCAAAATGCATATCCGTCATCATCTCACTGCAAATGTGTCCGATTCCACAAATCTGGTGGCTTTGGGCATGGGCTGGCACCGGTGCGCATCGTATCCAACAATACGTTTGCCAATATTTGAACAAAAGACCTAGGACCTGAGCCGACCAGACGCGCCGCGCCGTCTCTTTCCACAGCTCAGCTATGCCTGAGGAGTAAGCAGATTACAGCACCAAAACACCTGCACCGCGCAGCGAAATAAGCAGTTAAGAAAATGAGATGACAGGCATCCGGGCAGAGTGGCGACTGAGGGGCGCCCGAGAGGGGGGGGGGAGCAGTCCGATGCAGCAGGTCGGGCGCTCCTCCGGGCAGTCCGCTGGTCCCCGCCAACGGGGCAGGTGGCTCTGAGAGTGGAGCCAGGTGGCCAGGGCTGGCAACCGCACGCCGTAGAGCAGGGCGTGAACAGAACGCAGGGCAGGGCTAAAGATCAGCAGGGCGTGAGCCAATCAACGCTTGAGGAGTTCAAGAGAGTTTGAGGAGCACATGAGAGTTTGAGGAGTACAAGAGAGTATTGACGTATTTCCCTGCATTCCTGCACTCCGAGCCGCACCGCAGTCCTGCATGTGCCTTCCTGTAGGCCTTCTGTGGCGCAGCTTAAGCGTGTGAGTGGAAATGCAGGGACATCTCAAAAGTGGATGTGCCAATCCCTCTGTATGTGTAAATTCCGTCATACCTTATCGTAGGGCTCATGCTGGAGTCTTAGAAGTAGGAGGGCCCGAGCACAGCACGTGTACGCCATGCACATGCATTGGCGTGAGGCACTGGTATATACGCCCTTGTGTAAGACGTAGATGCCAATGCTCGGACACTCTTGACCCTCTTTTGGGTTTCTACCACAGACAGATATGTGATCGTTTCGCACACAGTTCTGAATATATTATCAGTGATTTGATTCGCCCTTGAAGTGGCTATATATATATATATATATATATATATATATATATATATATATATATGTATATATATGCATAGATATCAATATTTAGATATATGTGTATATGTTTATATATATTATATATTATATATATGTATATATATATATATATATATATATATATTATATATATATATATATATATATATATATATATATATATATATATATATATATGCATAGATATCAATGTTAAGATATATGTGTATATGTTTATATATATTATATATATATGTATATATATACATATATATGTACATGTATGAATGGTTGTACATTTAGGAAGCAGATTATTGTCAACACATCTTTAAAAAATCATAGCGGACTCAGCATAGTTTTGGATGTTTCCTACATAAATCTGATGGGAAATTTAGCTTTCTGTCGATGTTTCTTTCAAATGGTACCGAATCTCATGATACAGATAGGTGCAAATTACCGAATTGCAAGAACTGGTATAAGTGTGCACTTAAGGGTGAAAAGTTGGGACACATACTTATAACAACCCATGCCAAATGCCAATCTTTATCTTCTTGTGTTATGAGCTTCGGTACGATTTTAAACGAACATTGACAAGAAGCCATAGCTGTCATCATATTCACTGAAAAGCATAAAAATATAATCAATGCTGAGTACACTGTTATTTTTTTAAACAATGTCTACCAACGTATCAGTTGTGTGCATATACATTCAAAACTAGAAAATATATAGATAGATATTAATACGACCATGGGCCATTTTGAGTGTAAATGGGTGAGCAAACAAGTGAGTAAACACTTATTATCCCTCACAGATCAATACTCGTTCATGACTGTGTTGGGTTGCAGAAGCCGACACCGAAAATGTTAGCAATTATATTCACATATTCAATATTTCCCACTTTTGTCCATGCTCACACCGGCAGAGCAACGAATACCTTAAGGTAATTCGCGCACCGATTATTCATCGTCATCATATCATTATTCTTCTAGTGCCATCATCAGCACACGAGATAACTTGCATACATGTCCTCTGCCGACAGAAACGGGGAGCAATATATAATCTGAGCGACACAAAAAATCAAAGCCATTATTTGTGGACAGCTGCCCACGTGCTCTACGCAGTGCTGGGTGAAGCATTTCCTGTTCCGGTAATGGCCCAATTCGACTTTCGGATGGCTGCTGGTGAATTGGAACTAGTCCAGCCAACGGGGATATTCATGTGCGACTAACAATGGAATGCCATTCCGCGGCAGGCCTCGGCAGAACAGGAAGCGCAGGGAATCTGCAATAAAGGGCGGCAGAGCGGAATATGCAGCCATCAAGGGTGCCGTTGTCACAACGGAAAACGATGAGATGGTTTCAATAGCGAGAGGATTTTGACTGGCAAGATAGTGCCCAGCGGCGTCTTAATCCCCCATACGTCCATATGCCCCGTGGTTCTCGGCACAGATTCGTTCAAGACCTTGCATTGAATAGGCAGATTGAGTGTTGCCCGTCGTACTCATGAAATCGTGTATGCCAAGTCATTTGAAAAACAAACCAGGAAAAATGATCGGGTCCTTCGCAAATTCATGCGTTTGAGAGTGCTCACTCCCCTCCTGATTCACTGCTGTCGAGGAATCCTTCGTGGAAGGAAATGCTGGGTTAGACACGATATGTGTGCGTGTGAGCGTGCGCGAGCGCTGCTCCTGGTCATGACGCTCCGCACCTGCCACATGCGGCTTTTCTGCTTACAAGCGGTAGTCTCCATTCCCTTTAGAATATGTATCAAGGACCATTATTGATAAGTGAAATATCGTTACGCACGATAGGTTGCAGACGTCTGGATGAATTTTTTTAACAAAGAAGTGCTGAAAGCTTTGAGGAAGGCATATTGCCAGTATACTGTTCTTACAACGCCCATACTCTGCCCCAAGAGAGATAAAATACGTATCGCGATGCCCGGGTGCAGTGTCTCGTCTCGTTCGCCCCGCACCTGCTGTCCACCACGGCTCGTGGTGGACCACGGCGATTAGCTCGGCCGGGGTCAAGAGGGCATAGCCTGCGGCGCCTGAAGAAAGGACGCCGGGCGGCGCGGTGCGAGCGAAGGAGGATCTTGAGTGGGACGTGTGTTGGTGAGGCCTGGTTTGCTCGGGTTATGTTCGTGAAGGCAGTAAAAGTCTATCTTTGAAGGGACTATGTTTAGTCCGCTCGACGGGGTGCGGTGAAGCACTTCGCTGGGGGACTGACACTCTCATCTTGGTTTTGTGGTAACTCAAGCGGGTTGCAATTCCAACGAAGACAACAGGGGCAGCATTCAAAGAAACCGATTTCGATACCGCAGGCAATTATGTTACAACTCAAACCCGTACAAGCCAAAAATCTGAACTTGTTGTGCAGTGGCACGGGCGAGGTCGTACAATGTGACGTGCTTTCCCCTTAGGCACCGGGGCCCCCTCAGGCCCTTCGCGCAGACGATCAACACACGCCCGGGTGGCCCGTTGAATACCTTTCGGCCGGCTTGTGTGTGTGGTTGGAAGCGGGGGGGGGGGGGACAATTTGCCTTGCTTACATCTGGAAAACAACTGAGAGCTAGGAACGCCAAGTTTACAGGGTAGGTTGGTCTGCATGTGAACTCGCTTGTGTCACAATTTGAGCTTCCTAAGTCATGGCCTTCGAGCCAAATAAGGTCAAACAAGGTAAAACCCCATATTGTCCAGACTTGTGTGCGGAAAGCCCCAGACTTCCTCGTGCAACCGCCTTAAACCTATATGTCTGTTATAAGCAAAAGGTCGCTGGTGTTCATTTAAAGTCAGTGACCCTGTTTGTCCTTAAGAAAGTCATGGTGACCAAAGTACCGCAACGTTTTTATTTTTTTATTTTTGCTTGCTGATATGCTCCCAAAGCATGTTGATCTGGGCCTTTTTAGGTCAGTGACCTACTCTGACCTTAAAGAAGTCTATGAAAGATGTCAGCTATCAAGACACTCGAACTGAACACCAGAAACTACCACATGCAGCAAGCACTCGAGTAAAAAAAAACAGGTTGTTTTCGACCTTTATCTGACCTTCATAGCTGACCTCGGTCTAACCTTAGCTGAATGGATCTCGTTGTAATCCTAAATTAAATTGTTTTATTGCCTGCCGAGATGTTTGTTTCTCCTGCATAATTTTGACATTGTCCTATCAGTTATAGCGGTAGGAAACACAAATGGTTTTCCTTTACTCTGCCAGTTTCACCACCAGATTACGACTCCACTCGTCTATCAGTTCCTTTTAATAAAAGAATATTGATAGTACCAATCTAAAAGTCGCGCAAGTGGAGTAGATGCCTGGAATACCTACTAAATGTACGAGTTTATGTCCTGAGGCATTCATAGTTACCTTTTTAGATAAGTCATCGTTTTTTTTTTGCCATGGTGGCCGCAAAGTATTGAAGCATAGCCAGCACCGCGCCGTCTATGGAAACTGCAACACCGGACGTTGGGGTTTGGTTTAGTCTAAGACGTGCCAGCGCGCATGCTAAAGCTATGTTCCATAACTTTTTCACTGATGTATTGCGAATGAAGGTTGAATATTCCGAGAAGAGCATGGCTTTTTCATATGAATGCCAAATTTCGAATCTTATTTCGACCTAAAATATATGTCCATACCATGTCATCTTCCAAAAGC